TTTTCTTCATTTATTTAGTTGTTTTTCTTTTGCTTTTTTTGCTTAGATTTTTCTTTTACTTAAAATAATATTAAAATAAGCAGTTAGGTATTTGAAAAAAAATATTAAAATTAAAATAATGAATAAGTAAATTATTTAAAAAGAGAATATAAATTATTAAATTATTATTATTTCTTCTCCCTTTTCTCAATTAGATAAAGTACATTTTAATTAAAAAAATAATTAAATTAAAATAAATATTTAAATATTATTTATTTTTACCCTCTTTTAAGCATTATATCCTTCATTGACCTCTTCCCGATTTTCTCTTATTTTATAAATTTATTCCACCTTGTCAATCCCTCTATCAATTTCTTTAGTATATATTTGTTCACCTTTTCTTTAAATTTCTCTAAATATTTTTTTTATTTTAATTTCTTTCCGATTACTTTGAGTTTTTAAAAAATTATTTTTAAATAATTTTTATTTTATTTTTCCCCCTTTCTCTCTCTCTACTTAATTCAAATAAATTTACATAATCTTATAAATATATTTTATTAAAGATTTAAAAAAAAAGTAATGATTATAATGTCTTCTTCCACCTCCACTTCCACCTCTTCTTATTCTCCTTCAATAAATGCCCCTCCAAACTCTTCCCCACCTTCCCCCTCTTCTCCTCCAAATTCTCCCCCATCTTCTCCAACAATTAGTAATTCGGAAATAAAAAATACAAAAAAACTTTTTTCAAAAAAATTTGTTGGACAAGAAAATTGTTTTGAAACAATTGCTAGATTGGCAGGAATTGATGATCAAGAAGAAGTAGAAGAGGAAGAGGAAATAAATAAAAAAGAAATAAAAGAGGAATTAAAAGAAATAACGGAAATAAATGATTTAATAAACAATGAAGATGTTGATAATGAGGACAAAAAAGACAAAAAATTAAATGAAATGGTTAATCTTAATTTAAAAAATCAAAAAAATGTATATTTTAGAATTATACAAATAATAAAAATAAAAAAGAAATACCAATTAATTCACAATCATGTAACAATTTATTTTCTTCATCCTCACGCCGGAAGAATGGAAACCCAACAAGAATGATTGATGAAATTATTTTAAAAAATTTGAGAAGGAAAAGGAATTTAGAAGAAGAAAAAGAAGAAGAGGATGAGGAAAAAGAAGAAAATAAAGATGAAGAAGAGGAAGAGGATGAAGATAATAATAAAGTAAATATTTAAATTAAAAATTCATAAAAATTAAAAAAATTTTTTTTTCAAGTCAGGAAACGAAAGAGATATACCAGTTGCAGACTCAAATGAGAACAAAATTCAGGGAGAAATTTTAGGCCAAAATAATAATAGTAGCAATGAATGCCCGCCCCCATTACCATTTGAGGGACTCTTTTCACCTTCCTATGCCACTGATATAAACAGAACAGAGGAAATGCCTTTTGGAGAGGAAGGGGTGGAGCAACAACAACGGAAACAATTTTATACACAATTAATTCAACAATATGGGAATAATAATCAAATATTTGATATCCAACGTAAAATGGCCAATTATTTAAAGGAAGATTTGAATGGAATAATTTGTTCTGGGGCTATTGATAAGGTTGTTGTGGAAGAGGGGAATTAGTATATATTCTCTGATTTTTAAATAATTTTAAAAGAAAATTTGTAACAATCTTCTTTTAGGTCTTAACTGACATTTCTTCACAAGAATTACACAACAACAATACACAAACTAGTCGTTTTCTTGCAGCATTACAACAAAATGTTCGTCAACAACAATTTGGACTTTTTGGGAATAATATCCGTACTTTAACAACTTCAATACCTTCTTTTATTCCCCATTCTTCAATGCCTTTATCAACATCTTCCCGTATTTTTTCTTCATCAATGCCTTCCTCTTCTTCATCTATTTCATTAATTAATTCCAATATTTCCCCTTCATCAACAGTTAATCCCTTTCAGGCTTTTCTAGCAATTACCCAAAATCCATTAATTGCCACAGCAATGGCTGCTGCAGCAGCGGCAGCTTCTTTTGCCCAACAACAACAACAATCACAAATTTCGGCTCAAAATTCTAATAATAATAATCAAAATGGAATATTTCCTTCATCGTTAACAGTTACAGAAACAAATAAAAAATTAAATTTTTCACAGCCTCGTCCAACAATTAATTTACAAAGATTTCAACAAAATAATGAGTAATTAATATGGAGTAATTAAATTTTTTTTATTTATTTTTAGTGGAAGCCCTAGAAAGAAAAGACAAAAAGTAACAGATTCTGTTCGGGGCCCCCGTTCTAATTTACACTGTCGAGAACCTTCAAATAATTACAATTCAACTTGTGAACGTTTAACTCCAAATGGAGGATTTGTTATGCCTACAATGGTTCCCCAACAACGAGTTTTTTGTTCCCCCGACAGAAATTTAGGTGATAGTCCATCAGGTGATGATTCTGGAGGAGACAATAACAATTATATAGCAAATAATGATTTAAATAAGTAGGTCCTGTAAATAAATTCTGTTTAAAATTAATTTAAAGAATTCTACAATTAAATCATGTCCATTTACGTAAAGCTAAATTAATGTTTTTTTATCAACGATATCCAAGTAGTTCTGTTCTTAAAAGTTATTTCCCAGATGTTCAATTTAATAAACACAATACTGCACAGGTAATTTTTGTAAGAAAAAATAAATTTATATTTATTTTTTTACTTTTTTAAAGCTTGTCAAATGGTTTTCGAACTTTAGGTATTTTTATATATTTTTATCAAAAAAATTTTGTTAAGTAAAGAAAAGGAAAAAATGTATTAAATTACTGTAATAAATAGTTGAAGAGAAATAAAAAGAAAAAAATGAGTGGCACTGAATTTCACAGGAAGGGGATTAAAAAAATTGAGAGAGAAGAGAGAATTAAATAAAGTAGTTAGTAGTAAATAGAAAAATAAGGAAAATGTAGAAAAAAGATCCGCTGAATATTATAATATTTTTGTTGTGACAATATTTTGAAATGATCAAGAGGAGAGGAAGTTGTTGAATTGTTGAAATAGGGGAGAGGAAATATTTAATTTAAATAATTAAAATATATAAGAGGATTTAATGTTCAGAAAATTCCTCTGATTTAATAAGAAAAACTATTAAAAATAGTTACAATTGGATCTCAATTATACGAAACCTTTTGTGCAAAAAATTATGTTAAAGTGAATTTATCGTAAAAGCGAGGTTTAACTGTAATATAAGAATTATATTTAGGGAAATTATAGAAAAACTAACAAAGAATTTTAAGAAAGGAGTGATTTTTTAATTTTATTTATATGTATACAATCTACATAGCCTCTCTAATATAGCGCTTCCCACTTTGCTATCTAAACTTGGTCCCAAAAGCTGATATTATAGAGATTCCAATAAATATATTATTATTAAAATATTTATCTTAAATTTAAAAAATTAATTAAACAGAGAATTTTATTATATGCAAATGGAAAAGTTTGCCAAACAAGCACTAGCAGAAGGGGTTAATCATCAAGAAGAGGTTTATTTGTTATTTAACTTTTAATATTCCAAAATATATTTAGCTAATTGTAACAACAGAATCAGAAATATTTAAACAACTTAATCAACATTATAATAAAAATAATGTTTTTGAGGTAATTAAAATAAAAAATAAATATATTTTTGAATTTATATAATTAAATAAATAAATTAAAGTTTTGGTGGGACATTAAGCATCTTTTAGACTTTTTTTACAAATCCAGTCATTTTTTAAGATTCCAGGAAATAATAAATTTTCTGTAACTTTTTTTTGATCTTATATTCATAGACCCAGATAAAATATTTTGCTATAGATAACTAAACGGAATAACTAAAAAGGCACAAATAAGATAGAGGATTAGTAGTTTTTTGTCTAATAGAGGATTAGTAGCCTACCTAATTAGTAGTTTTTGTTAAAAAAATTTAAATAACTTTTTAGCCTCCAGAAAGATTACTTTTTGTTGTTCAAGAAACTTTAAGAGAATTTTTTTCTGCTTTACAACAACAAAAAGATTTAGAACCTTCTTGGAAGAAATCAATATATAAAATAATTCAACAATTAGACGAACCAATCCCCGATTATTTCCGTGATTTTCAATTTGTTGAAATGCTTGAAAATGCCCCATGATTATATTTAGTTATTTTGAGAGATGAAAATTAATAATTAAAATTAAATATTTTTTAATTAAAATTATGTGCAGCATTTTTTTAATTGTGAATTTATTTTTAAAATTGTTTTTAAAACATTTTAATTTTTTATATAAAAATTTGTTTATTTCTAAGTTGAACAATAAACAAAAATTTTTGAATGCAATTTAAACTTAAGTTCTTAAAAACTCATTTAAAATTCTAGCAATTAAAAGTTGGAACATTTTAATTTACCCAAGCAAAAATCCTCCCATTTTGCTTTTTACTAATAAATTTCCGAGATATGTGATAATAATTATTTTTAAAATATTAACCAAATACACAACAAAATTCTCTTATTTATTTTATAAACTTTTCCCAAATAAAATTAATTTTTTAATCCCCAAAATTTTCACTTTTCCTTACAAATATATTCAGTAATTCTTACAAAATAATATAAGATATCCATTCCTCCCTCACTTATTATTTTTGAAGTAAGCACTACTTTTCTTCCTCAGACTTCTTATGATTAATGGGAGAAAAAAAAGAATTTTATATTAAAAATATATATAATTGTGCTTGACCACAAGCCTTTCCTTTAATTTTTCTTTTCGCCCTCCGGCGCCTTCTCCCTCAATTTTTGTCCACTTTAAAGAATTTTTATTTTCCAATAGAGTTGTTTTCTACTTCTTTCTTAGACTTCCGCGCACACACACGTTCCTCCAAATTAATTCCTTTTTTTCTTCACACACACTCAACTAAAAATATATTTTTATCCCAAATGATTTTCTTTGATTTTTAAAAAAGTTTGTGTTGATTTGTTGTGCTGCTTTTAACTTATTTTTAATTAAAAAATGTTATTATTATTTAAAATTTTAATAATTATTTTTTATTTAAATACAACAAATTTATTTGCATTAATTAATAAAAGAACAAAATGTGCTATTGAATGTTATAAAAAATGTTCAGAATCAGGAACTCCCCAATCTGTTTATTGTAATTGTCCTTTTACAGAAAATGATAATTGTGATGATGAAAATATTAATGAAGAATTATTTAAAGAAAAAACAATTGAAAATTTAATTGAATTTAAAAGTGGATATACAAATATTAGAATTATTTGGGTAAATGTAAATCCAATTCCAAATGCTTTTATTTATATTTTTGAAATTTCTTTTCAAAGTATTTCCATTCCTGTTTGGATTTTTGCTGTAAATTTTTGATTAAAAAATTTAATTAATTAAACAAAATTAATTAAAGGGCGCTTCTTCTTCTCCAAAAATTAATTTTTCAATACCGGATGCTTGTAGAGATTACCAATTTCGTTTAATTACTGTTTTACGTTCAACAGATCCTAAAACGAATTTAATTGTTTTTAGAGGGCAAAAAATACGTGTTGAATTTCCTCCTTTTGTTGTGGCTGAGGAAAATGTTATTTTTTTATTAAAAAATAATTAAAAAATCTTTTTAATATTTTTAATGAAAATTTAATGATATAAAGCATATAATTTAATATTATAAAATTAAAAATATTTTTTAAACAGATAATTTTAATTTTTAAGCTTTTTATTAATTTTATATAAAATACTTATATATTGCTCTTATATTATAAAGATTCATTTGGATCGTCCAAAACAGTCAAATGATGGACAAACTTTACATTCTTCAGTAAGTTGGCAACATCCATCTGGTTACGAAGATACAGATATTTATGGTTATTCTCCACCTACAGCTTACCCAATTAGTTGTCAAACACCTGAAGAAAAATTAAGTCAACCAAGATTAGAATTAATACAGGGAGGGGCTCGTTTACATTTTGCATTGCCAATTGAGGCTTTAAATGATAAATGTAAAATATATATGGAAATTAAAATGTTACCAAGGCAAATTAATTTAATTAATAGAATAATTAAATTTTATATTAATTAAAGATGTGTTAGAATTAAACCATTTGATATTCAAATATCAACAGAAATTGATTGCCAAAAATTCCCTAATTTACAATATTGCAAGAAAGGTAAATAAAAAAATTATTTTTTAAATTTTTATAAAATATTAGAAAACGGCCCTCAATGTACTGAAGTTGTTGATTTGTGGGGAAGAAATGATGGAAGGGCTACAGTTGTTTGGCAAAAACCAAATGCCGTCAAAAATACTTATCCAAATTATTATATTGTTAATTGGGGGCCAACACAAAATTCTGTAGAAATTTTATATTTTTCTAAACAAATTTATTTTTTTTACAAAAAGGGTTCTTCTTCTTTCAATCGAAAAATAATTAATGGTCAACATATTAAAGTTCCCGGAAATATAACAAAAATAGAATTAACCCCTCAATGGGGTATTCAATATGGATTACAAATTTGTGCTTTTTATGACGAAAAAGAAGATAATAATAATAATTTACAAATAAATCCATTTAATATTTCCCCAATAATTCCATTTTATTGTAATCCCTGTGCTGCACCCGAATTAAAATCTAATGAAAATCCTAATCAAGAAAGGTGTATTGAATGTACAAAAATTGAACAAAGACAAGTTTTCTCTAAAATATTTTTAAAAAAATTAAATTAATTTAAAGAGCCCTTCCAAAATATTAAATTCTCCAAATTACTCTTCTTCTGTTGATTGTGTAGGGCCAATATGTGCTTCTTCTAATTATACATCTACACATTTTATTTCTTCTGGAATTGTGTAAATATTTAAATTAAAAATAATTATTTAAATTAATTTAAATAGTTCAATGGATATTTTTGGTTCTAATATTAATTCTAATTTTACTGAAAAAGAGAAGAATGAAACAGAAAATATTAAAGAAATAAATGAAGAAGAAAATGAGGAAGATGATAAACAAAATTTTGAACAAAATAATTGGAAAGAAAAAGAAAAACAATTATTAAGACAATTACATTCAAAAACAGTTTAGTTATTTATTTTTTAAATTTATTTTTAAAATTCCCTTTTTAAGTTACCAAGAAACCCAATTTCTTTAAATAAAGAAGAAAATGAAGAAGAGGAATTATTGTTAAGTGAAAATGTTGAATTATTTGTTGAAACAACAACAACAAACATTAAAGAAGAAGAAGGAGAAACAACAACTACTACTACAACAACAACAAATTCAGTTAATAAGGAAATAAATAAAACAACTACAAAACAAATATTCGAACCAACAAATAAATTGGAAGAAAAAATAAATAAAAATAATTTAATTGTTGATAATAATGTTACAATAAATACTAATGTTGATTTGATAAAAGAAGATAATAATGAAATAAAAATAAATAAAGATAAATTAGCAACAAATAAAAATGTATTTTTAATTAAACAAATAATTAATTAATTATTTTTATTAAATAGATATCTACTATAAATAATAATAATACAAACTTAAATTTGGCAAATAATTCTTCATTTCTACCTGAAAATTTAAAAATAAAAATACCAAAAATAACAACAAAATCAGTATATTATTCCTCTACAGAAAAAACAAAAGAAAGTACAACAGAATTATTAAAAGAAATAAATAAAGAAGGAAGAGGTGGGGGAGGAGGGGGAAGTTCTCGTTCACCTTTAGATCCAAAAAAATTAATTTTGGCTGGGCCTATTTTCTTTTTTCTTGGATTGGTTTGTAAATTAATTTTAATTTTAAATTAATTTTAATTAAAAAAAAGAGTTTTGGATTAATTCTTTTATTTACTTTTTGTATTAATCGTCGACGTCAAAATGTTACTAGAGAGAATTTCCATCACCATAATAATCGTCGTCACCGTCATCCACTTCCAAATTTTAATACTTCATTAACTCCCGTAATTAAACAACAACAAAAAACAAATAATATATTAATAAATAAAAAATACCCAACAAGTAGTGTATTAGCTACTAGAACAGCAATTAATTGTGGAGGAGGAGGAGGGGGTGGAGGTGGGGGAGGGGGAGGAGGTGGAGGGGGTGGAATTAATAAAAATTCTGTTGGACAAATAATTCAACAAAATGTTTGTGTTAATTTTAAATTTATTTTTAAAAATTTTCCTCTTCTATAGCAACAAACAAATAAAGAATATTCTTCTTGTTCTTGTGCATCTACTGCCTCAGCAATATCTTCCTCTATTGTCACACCAACTACTTCAACAAATATTTCCGTTTCTACTCAAAAACAACAACAACAATCATTGGCAACAATTGCCCACAAACCTAAAGTTATTTTTAGTTACCATATATACTGGATTAATTACTCCCTCTCTCAAATAATTACCCCCTCCAGGTTGAGATTGAGTAAAGCAGCTGGGGTATAGCTATTTCTCTCCTTTGGCAAGTGCAAAAGGTTATTTGGCGGCTGGGAGCTAACCAGCATCTTAAGTATACGGAACTTATGTGTATACGGGACTTACCTTAGGAATTAAATTAATAATTTGGAATTAATAATTAATTAAATAGCTATATGCTTTACAATTGAAACAATTATATTACCCAGAGTAATTAATAAAGTATTTATATGTATATGTATGGTAAATTAAATTTAAAAATTAGAATCTTTATTTAGACAATTAAACAGCAAGAAGAAAATTATAATAATCAAAATTTTGCTGATAATACTTCGCGATTCTTTATGACATCAACACCTTCGAGTGTTACAAATATAAATAATCAAAACAAAAATGTTCATTTTTAAATAAAATTTTTAAATAAATTTTTTAAATTGTTTAAATATTTTTTTAAAATAATCTTTTTGGGAAAAAATGTTTTTTTATTTAAAATTATTATTTATTTGATTAAAAAATAAAAATAGACTTTTTATTTTAAGAAATAAATACATATAAATACATATATTTAGATAAGTAAATGTTATTTTATTTGTCTATAAATTTTAAAGATAAGGATTTTGGAGAATAAATAAATATTATTTATAATTAAATAAATAATCAATTTATTAAATATTTTATAAAAATTATTATTTTTTAAACAAATTAAATAAAAAAAACGTCAAAAGGTTTGTGAGAAAATAAAAAAAAAAGTTTTTAACAAAACAAAGGGTTTATCCTTCTTTTTTTATTTACAATAAATAAATACTAAAATATAAATTCATTCTAAATTTACTCTTCACTTGCGCAACTAAAAAACAAAATTTCCTCTTTCCTTTAAAGTCAATAAAAATTTTGTTTTTAATTTTTAAACAGAACTAAATAAATAAATAAATTTTTTATTTAATTTATTTTTTTAATTTAATTTATTTTTTTTTAATTTAAAAGTAAATAAATACGAAAACGAACGCCGATTTTTATTAACAATGTGCTCAACATCAACTCCAATAAATACTAGGTATTTAATTTGTTTTAAATACAAATAAATCGGGTTACGTTAATGTCAGTCGTTCGATCCTGATTGAATTAAGGCTCCTAACTGTCGGCAGGTCCCTTTAGATGGAGATATAACCGAGGGAACTTAATTTTATTAATGTAAATCAAAGGAATAATTTTTTGGAAAATTAAATTTATTTAAATAAATTTAATAAAAAAGAATTATTTTAAAATGATAAATGGAAGTAAAGGGGATTTTTGTTCATATTTACTTATCAATTAATTTATTTTTTAAATTTTAGTTCAATTAAAGAAATATCATCTTCTTCAAAAAATCAAAATAAATTATTAAAAACAAATAACAATTCCCAATTAAAACAAAAATTTTCAAAATTTGTTAAAAGATTAATTCCACCTTGTAATTATTGTAAACCTAAAAATAAAAAAAGGCAACAAATTAAAAATAATAATATAGAGAAGAAAATGGAGGAAGAAGAATTAAATAAAGAAATTAATTTAAATAAAAATGAAATTAAATCAAGTATTTTTTTCTATTTAAAATTAAAATTTAATTTTTCCTTTTAATTTTAAAAATTCCATTTACTTCCAATTTGGCTGCTGCTGCTCGTTTACAAGAACAAATGGGATTGGGTACTCCAAAATTCCCCGTCCAGTGGGTATTGGGATCATCAGAATTAACTGAAGAAGAAAATTCTGATAAAAATAATTTTGTGTATATTAAAAATACTTTTGATAAAAAATTATTTTTCTTCCATGGAAAGGATGAAAATGAAAATAAAAGTTAAGTATTTTAAATAAATAAAAAGTTTATTTAAATTAAATATTTTTTAAATAAATTTTTTTGATAAAAATTCTCTTCTTTCGTCATTTTCTTTCCCTCGTGATCGTTATTTTTTATTGTTTTTATACTAAAGAAAAGAAAATTTATATTAAAAATTCCTCACAAGAAAAATAAAAAAAATACAAACTTTTAAATAATAATTTTAAATATTTATTTATTTAACAAAAAAATAATTGTATGTATATAGTTTAGTTTTAAACTAAACTACAAAAATATTTAAAGTAAAATATACCTAAATTACTTTAAACCTCTTCAAAAATTATTTAAATATTTTTTAGTCAAACAACAAATTCTTCTTCATTATTTAACCAAAATTCTTTACTAGAACAAAATCAAGATAAGAATAATGAAAATAAACAACAAATTTTATTAAAAGAAGAACAACAAAATATTGAAGATTTACTACCTAAAAAAAGGAAAAAATGTAAAATTATTTTCTTTAAATTAAAAAAATATTTTACCTAAATTAATTAATTATCACCCACACACACACACTTTAATTTATTTGACAATATCGACCTAAGTCTCCTTTCATTTATTTTTTTTTGTCTTTCAATAAATATTTCTTTTTAATTAAATTAGTTTCTTACTTTTTTTATTAAAAATATTTTTTGTTTAAGTTAAATTAAAATAATTTTTTAAATAAATTAATTTTTTAGCTTTTAAAATTTGTAAATGTTTCCCAACTGTTGTTCGAGTAATTGTTGAAAGTGGAGCTAAAGAAATAGAAGAAGAAACTGAAGAAAGAATAATTACAAGTAGTAGCAGTACAAGTCAACTTCAATTAAATAATTATAATAATAAAAATATATTTACTACAAAACATTCCCTTACAATTATGGCTAGTAGCAGCAGCAGTAGTAGTGGAGGAATATCTAGATTTAGAGTTTTTAATTAATTTAAATTTATTTATATTTATTTTTTAGATAATTCCAGTAAATAGTAATTATTATAAAAAAGGTCGGTGGCAAGTTTGGGATTATTATAATGAAGGAATTGTTGATAAAAAGACAACAACAAACACTAATAATATTCTCCAGCCAAAGGAGAATAAAATTGGAAAAGTAAAAGAAAGGGAGGAAGAGGAACAAAAAAATGAAAATGGTTTTTAAAAATTTTAATTTTAACGACTCCTCTCTCATTACGGAGGGATCTACTTATAATGACACCTCTCAAGACGAAGCTGGCGTAAGTGGAAAAGAATTGTATGTTAGTTCAACTCTCCGTAACAGAGAGAGGAGTCGTAACAGAGAGAGATTCTCTAATTTACATATTTTAAAAATTTTTTATCTAGATATTTCTCCAAAAATTGTAAATACTTCTTTTAATTATGAAAATGAATCAAAAATAAATCCTCCACCTCCATCAATTCTTTCACTTCAAAATATTCCTACTTCAACTTCAGTTAATTAAAAAATAATTTAAATATTTTAATTTAAATTTAAAGCAAAAATTAATGCCTCGACGTAATTCTTTCCAATTAATTACAATAAAAACTTTAGAAGATAAAAACTCTTTAAATTCTGTACCTTCTTCAATTTCTGAAGAACGTCTTAATTTAATTGGTGTCAATGATAATACAAAAGAAAATAATTTAATTAAAGATTGGATTGTTTGTGTTTTTAAATTAAAAAAATAATTAATTTATTTAATTTAGAAACAACAAAATTCTTCTTCAGAATTTATTACATTTCCACCTCCCCATCAAAATAATAAAACCCCCCAAATTGTAGAAGAACCTCCACAAAAGTTATCAGAATTTCCATCATACCCACTTTTAACTAATCATCAACCTATTTCAAGTAATTTGAAAAAATTATTAATTAAAAATATTTCTTCAATTAAAAGAAAAACTTGTTTTGTTAAAAAAAAAGAGACGAAAATTTTTTAATTTGTTTTAAATCATTTTTGGGGTAATAAATTTAATATTTTAAATAAATGGAGTCTCTGTGTTTATTAATAAAAAAATTGGATAATTAAAAAGACTGAAAACAATAAAAATATTATCAATAAAAACTAGGTAATTTTTATATCTTTTTTTTCTCTTTCCTTTTTTTAATCAAAACAAAAGAAAAATATAAATTATTTTTAATTTGTGAATATTTTAATTTAATTTAATATTTAGTAGAATCTACTACAACAACTAATTTAGTATCAACAATTTCTTCTCCTTCTCCAAATTCTTTATCACCAAATATTACTAAATCAATTAGTACATCCCCTCCCCCACCAAAGCAAATGTTTATCCAACCACCACCTCCTTCTAGTTTAGAACGTCAATTATCCATTGGATTAAATGAAAAAGAAATTAAAGAAAATAATTCCCCGCAACAACAACAATATTTTTCTGCTTCTTTTGGGCCTGGACAAATTCAATTTAATGGAAATATGAATGGAGTTGGAGGGCAAAATTATGTAGAGGAAAGGAGAAGGTCTATTGCGAGACGGTGGGTGTTAAAAAATAAAATTTTATTTAAGGGAATTTTAAGGGATAAATTGAATTTTATTTTATTTAAGAGAATTAAATTTTAGAAAAAAAAAGTTTTTAAAATTATTTATAAATTTAAAAAAAAGGAAAAAAATATTTTTCTTCAAAGTTTAATAATTGTTAGAAATATTTACATACTTTTATTTTTTACTCAAAATACTTTCTTAAATTTTAAAAATTAATTTAAAACAATTTTTGATTTTATTTTTAATAGACTTTTTTGAATTATTTAAATTCTAATTTATTTAAATTATATTGCGGAAGTAATATTTACTAGTATATTTTTTACAAAATTAAATTTAATATGTTAAATTTACTTATTTATTTAATTATTTTTTTAAATTTAATTTTAATAAACTCTAAAAATAATTTTATTTAAATTTTTTTTTTAAATTTCCGACACAAATATTTGTATATATTTCTTCTATTTATTATTTTTTATTTCAAGTATTTAGAGAGTAAAAATAGTAAATATAAATTTATTTTAATGACGACACTAACCGCGCATATTTAACATTCTATTTGCCTTTCTTTTAAACAAATATTTCAATATTACTTTAAAAAAACTTTAAAATTTTTGAGGAAATTTTAAAGAAAAAAAAAGTTTATTTATTTAGTTAGACCAAAGAATGAATAAATTTTTTGAAAAATAAAATTATGTTGGGAAGCGGATTTAAATATTAGAGAGTCTCGACTTTATTTTAAGAGAAAAGAATTAATTTTCAAAAAATATTTTTTGAAACATTTTAATTATTGAAATATTAGAAAAGACAACAGCTGATTTCTTAAAAATTTTTTAGTTATAGTAACTTTTTATTTAAATTGTTAAATTATCAAAGATTTTAACTAAAAATAATTAAAAAATTAAATGAACATTTCTTTAAAAAACAAATATTTAAATGGTTTTTAACTAATAATTTTTAATTTATTATTAAATCTAAATTTTAATTAAAATTGACAATTAAAATTAGGGTAGCACCCCGTCCCCCGACGAATTCTTAGGCAAAAACCCCGACCCGAACCCCGAAGGCTCAGGATGCTACCCTAATTAAAATTAACAACTTTAATTATTTATTTATTTAACAAATAATTAAATTTAACAAATTTTTAAAAAATATATTTTTTTGTAATTTTCTTTTAATTACTTTAAATAAAAGTAAATAAATAAATATTTTTATTTATTTAATTTTGTCATATATTTATTACCTCAATTTTTTGTCAAATAAACTCTTTTAAAAACAACTGTTTCTATCAACTTTATTTATAACTCCCACACAAAATTATTTAATTCTTAGAATTAATAGATTAAAAAATAAAAAGCTTTTTTTTAAAAAAACTTGTTATTTAAAAAAATATTTATTTTTTTTTCTTGAGAATTAATTAAAAATAAAAATATTTTTAAAAATTTTATTTAATATAGTAGTTCCCGTGTAAGATTTTAAATTAAATTATTCTATAGAAGGGGAATTATTAGGTTTTTGGGGAATAGATAAAAGCAGTTGCTTCGTTAAGTTCAGACCGTGCATTCCGACCTGTTCATTGTTCCTCCTAACTATTACCGCTTTTTTATCTTTGTATTTACCCCAGGATATAACAGAAGTTATTCAATTAAAATTTTATAAAAATTTTTTTAAATTTACTTCCTTTTTATGTGAAAATTTGTTTCTTGTAATAATTTTCCTCAATGGGGAAATAAATAGTATTAAAATATGGAATTTAAAAATTTCTTTTTTTGTTTCTTTTTTTAATATTAAAATATTTTATTTAGGCAATTTTAATAATTTATTTTTGTTTTTAACAAATAAATTACAAAAAATATATTTAAAGTCGAATTTCTCTCCTCATAATCTAATTCTAATGTTTGGCACGGTATGATATACCGCGTTATTTTTTCGGTATACCGATACCGAATACCGAAAAAAAATCCAGTTGCTGAACATTGTCGAAAAACATTTATTATTTGGAGAGACAATATTTTTTAAAATATTTTGTTTTTCTTTTTTTAAAGATTTATTTATAATTATTTTAAAAAATGTTAAAATGTTTCTGTTCCCCAACACCAGCCACTTCCAATACTTCAAATATTTGTTCTTCATCAGAATTAAATTGTTGTTGGCTTCAATCATTAGAATTATTTGTTGGCAACCCAACTATAGAATCTCCTCTTCCTTTATTCTTTAATCAACAACAAAAAATGTAAAATTTCCAAATTATTTTTTAATTAAAATTTAGAAATTTTCTTTTATTATTCTTGTAATTTTCTTTTAAATTTAATTTAAAATTAATTTTTAAAAAAATAATTAATTAAATAATTATTTACTTTTCTGTCAAAAAACTTTTTTTAAATAAATTATTTTTCCTTTTCTCTAAAAATTAAATTTAAAAAATATTTTTATCTTTTCGTTTATGCGCAATAAAAAAAGTTTTTTTCTTTTTAATTGAATGTTTCCTTTCATGTTAACAAACATAAAAATAAATATTCTCACAAAATAACAAAATTTGTTTTTTTTTATTTTCTAACCAAAAAATCTCTTCTCGTCCAAAAGTCAATTAAAAATATATTTTTGTTTTTCTTGTTTAATTTATTTAAATATTCCCTCTTTTATTAAAAATATTTTTTATTTAAATCACCTGTCAAATTTGGGGAGGAATTTTTGGTGAAATAAATAAATAGAGTAACTAACAAATAAAATATTTAAATAAATATTTAATATTCATTTATTAATCAATCAATTTTATAAAATTTCAAAAAAAACTTTTTTAGAATATTTATTTTAAATTAATTTAAAAGTTAATAAATTAAAAAGGAGGTTTAAACACAAGCATTTTCATATATTTTTGATTTAAACTTTTTTTCCCTAATATTTGCCAGAACGCATGACTAAATTAAATATTTAAATGAATAATTTTATTATATTTTATTTCTCTCTCTTTTCCTCTTTTAAATTCGTTAAATTTATTAAAACATTTTCTTGAAAAATAAAATAATCAAATAAAAGAATTTATTTGTTACTCTCTAAAAAATATTTTTCAAGTAATAAAAATAAATATATTTAACGAACATTTATATATTTTTGTATGTAAATATTTTTATTTTTTTCTTCTTTTTATTTATCAGTTAATAAATAAATAAAATAAAATGGTAACAAATAGTAATAACCACCATTTATCACCAATAATGCCACCAAAACCCTCTGCTATCCCCTCAACACAATTCAAGGTCGTTAAAGTAAATGTTCCAGCAACTTATTTGGTTAGAAGACGGCATTCTGTTGTGCCGGAAGCCGTTATTTGGGAAAATCATGGGGAGGCTAAAAGTGAAGCAGAAGTGACAGAAATTAGGCCTAGGCATTCCTGCCATTTCAGTTACCTATAAAATTATTTAAATTTATTTTTTGTTCATTTTAACATACGTTGTTTATATAAATTTAAAAAATTCTTTCAAAAGAGAGAATCTTTAGAAAATAAAAATCTCTTAAGAAAAAATAATTTTAAAAAAAATATTTTCTTTTTCAGTGGTTCATCAGCCTCAACTGGGGCAGTACCTTCCACAGTACAGCAACAAAAGGTTGATGCTGGTGTTAATATAGATTACAAAATTGAACAGGCTATGGTTGGTATTTTTTGAAATAAAATCCCCTTCCTTCCCCCTTAACTTTAAAATGGGAAATTATAGAGAAAATTTTTTTTAATTATTCATATTTTTTATTTTAATCAGGATTTGGTAAAAACACATTTAATTTATGCTGTCCGTGATGAAATTGAATTACTTAAATCTAGAATTGTTGAATTAGAATCTAATGTAAATTTTAAATAGTAATTTTTCTTTTAAAAATAAATTCCTTCTTTTAAATTAAAAGGTTTTCCATCTAGAATCAGAAAATGCAAAATTACGTGAACATATACCTAAAGAAGTTTTAGCAAATATTTGTTTTGATAATATACAACAACAATTTAATAAACAAAAAATTTTATTTTCTATTAACAATATTGCCTCAAATAAATAAATTAATTAAATTTTATTTTTATTTTTTCTCCCGGTAATTAAATATTATTTTCTTAAAAATTAATTTTGTAAATTTAAAAGGCTTTTTATTTGTGAAAGAAAGAGAGCAGTTTGTCTAGAATAATTAATTTAATTAAAACAATTTTCTTTTATTTTAAATTGCTCATTTAATTAATTATTTTCTACTTATTTTTTTTATTTAATTTTTTTTTGTATTTGTTCGGGTTTTTATCTCTAAATATAATTAAGAATTTATATTTTGTTTTTTTTCTTCCAAAGAATTGCCCCTACATATTTTAATGATAAAAATAAATTGTATTATTTTTGTATAATCATTTATGTACATACATATTTAATTCCTTGCAAAAGGTAGAGTAGGTTAAAAACTCAAGTCCGGGCAATTGAGGATTCTGATTTGCTTCCCAATCCTATACCTTTTGCATTAATTAAATGAAGAATAGCCTAGTTTAGTTTTTTTTAATTTTATTTAATTTTCATTAAAATGTTAATTTTCCTCTATATTTTTTAATAATATAAAAATATTTTTTCAAATATTTATTTTTAGTATAAAACAAATAAATATATATTTTTATTTATTTTTTAAATTTAAAATAAAATTAAAATCACAATTATTTTTCATATTTTTTCTTCTCTTTTTTGGACAGAAATAAATTCAGAATTAGCTATTTGTCTAGCTAATTCCTCATCCCTTTTTGCCTGTTCATTTTGTTTAATTTCCTCCAATTCAAATTTTTTAGTTAATTCTAATGCCAATTCTTCATCTCTACGAGCACTTAATTTAAATTTAAAATTAATTTAAAAATTAAAAAAAACATTTCTTTTTTTTCTTTTTCAGCTTTTTCCAATTCAGCTATCTGTTCTTGTCTACTTAATTTAAAATCTTTTGACAAATTTTTATGTTTTTCTTTATTATTTGAATAATGAAAACGAAATTCTTCTTCTTGTAAAGAATAAGCTAAAGTTAGATCTTCACCCAAATTTAGACGAGAAGCTACTAAAATTAAAGATATATTTAAA